GTGTGTGTGTGTGTGTGTGTGTATACATACACATATGTACACATCACACACACACACACACACACACACACACACACACAACACACACACACACACATACACCAGTGTGAGTGTGATGTGTGACTACTAGATGTATACACACATACATGCATATTATCTTTCTTATATTATATCTTTGCTATTATTATCATTATTGTTATTGATGTGATTATTGTCATTATCATCATCATTATCAGCATTATTGTTATTACCAATGTTACTGTTGCTATTATTACTATTATTATTGCTCTTATTACTATCATTACTGGTCTTATTATAATTATTATTATTAGTAGTAGTAGTAGCATCAATATTATTTTTGCCATTATTAGTTAAAAAATCCTTGTCGTCATCAATATCATAATGGCAATGGAAAGGAGAAATTACCAATGATAACTCCAGTAGCCAAAGAACGTAAATGCTCCTTGGCAGTAGCAGTCACGGCGCTCACCTTCGTCTCAACAGGTATCGGCTTCGGGTTGATCTACCTGCCGGCGGTGGTCTGCGTCGGCTACTACTTCGAGTCCAAGCGTGCCCTAGCCACGGGTATCGCGGTCTGCGGCTCGGGTATCGGCACCATGATCTTCCCTCCCTTCATCAACTACATGATCGGAGAGTACTCGTGGAAGGGCACCAACCTCCTGATCGCGGGATTGATTCTCAACTGTTGCGTGAGTGTTGGGTGCGAGGGGAGTGGGAGAGGGGGAGGGGGAGAGGGAGAGGGAGGGAGAGCGGGGTAGGGGTGGGGAATGGGAAGCAGGGAAGAGAGGGGAGTAAGGATTGGGGAAAGAGAAGAGGGAAGGAGGGCGTGAAGTAGAGGGGAAGAGAAGGGAGTGGAGAGTGGAGAGAGGGAAGTAGGGAATTGGGATGGGAGAGAGAGGGGTGAGGAAAAGAGGAGTGAAGTAGAAGGGAGAGGGAGAGAAATGGTAAGGACAGAGGAAAGAGAGGCGGGGGGGGGGGGGAGTGGGGAAGAGAAAAGGGGGAGCAGGGAGAGGGTACGAGAGAAAGATAGGAAAGAGTGAAGGGGATGAAAAGGGGGAAGAGAGAGAGTGAGCAAGGGAAAAAAGAAAAAAAAGAAAAAGGGAAAGGATATGGAAGGACAAAGGGAGAAGGAGAAAGGGCGAGAAGGAGGAGGACTAAAAAAATACTTTGACTAAAAGAAAACTACACAAACAAACAGATAAGAAAGGCTTTTTACCGAGATAGCGATTGACACACGTGGTATTGACACAGAAAGTGCAGCACACATCACAAATAAGAAAAGAAGAGAACACATCAGCTACTTAAATGTTAACTTACAGACTGTTAATAAAACTCTAATACTAATACTCCTTAATGGTAAAACTCTTTTCCGTTCTTGCAGTGGTTCGGCGCTCTCATGAGGCCTCTGGAGGTCCCCAGGATGAAGAAGAAAGACCTCCTTCAGCGCCTGGCAGAGGAGAAGCGGGCGACTTTGGCAAGAGGGTCGATCTGTGATCCTAATAGGGTAAGTGGGGAGAAAATAGGTAATGGGGGACTCGGGGAGGCATGGAGAGAGGGGGGCAGAGGGGGAGGGGAGAGGGAGAAGAAGGACGGAGCGGGAGAGAGGGAGAATTGGGATGGCATGGAGGGGGGCAGAGAGGGGGGAGGGATAGAGAGAGAGGAGAGAGAAAGAAGATTGAGAGAGAGAGAAGAGAGAAAAAGTGAGAAAGAGAGAGAGAGAGAATTTAATTAGAGCAAGTATCTCAAGGACAGGAATTTTTTAAAAAGCAGAGAGGCAGTTCATCTTATCTTATGATAAAAGGAAATCAAACAGATAAGGAATGCTTGTTTCATGAGCATTTATGACAGATGTATTTTGTAACTGCAATATGTAATATAATTGCTTTTTATAATCATATTCCTTTACTATTTTTACTCATTAGGGATGGGATATTATATTCATTACCATGCTATTTTTATATGTAAAATCAAATGTAATTGCGTCTAACAAAGATGGTGGGTATACATATCAAAAACTACTTTGGAAGACGGCTATACAAATATATAAGGATATTTATGTCATTTTAACAAATCAAGCATAATATTCCACCATACAGGAGGCAAATGCTGACCCAGGAGTGCACTCCCACCTCAATCTCTCTGGCTACCTGACACCTGTGGGTACAACGTTAGCTCTGCCAACTATCCAAGAGACCCAGGGCAACACCCCTCCTGACCAGGAAGCCCCCATTGCTGCCACTGATGCTGAAGAGGTTTCCCCAACAACCCCTCCAGCCACTGAGCAGGACAGTAAGTGTGGACTAGGGAAGAAAGACATTATTTTAGATGATCATTCTTTTTTATAGGTTTCAAGTAGTGATTAGTACATTTTCCTCTCGTTTCTTTTTTCTATTTTTTTCTGTTTCCATTTTCTCAGTGATGATAGAAACTAAAGCATAAATATAGGAGAAGACTAGAATAGACAGTATTATTGGGAGCA